CTATATTATTATTTTTTATATTGCTGTGTCTATCTGGTCAAAGAAAAAAATTAGCTTAATTACGACATGCCGTTCCAGACTTCTATCATCAGATATGAAAATAAAAACAATGATGAACCGCCATTTCTGTTCTTCGCGTTAATTCAAATATCTTTATTGCTGAGTACATTTAGATGCATTGCAAGATGTTAGATGCTTGCGCTCTTCATTATGTTCCACCAATCAAGGCATGCAATTATTATTCATAAATTATAATTGACGAGTTTCAGACTACATTAGTTTTATTAATTATCAGTTCAGTCAAAATTTTATAAGTTATTTCATAATAAGTTAAAACAAATATTAAAACTCAACAACACACTTAAAAAAAAAAGGTTAAAACTTGTTGTTAAACTTAAAAACAGCTGTTCAGAGGCCTTAGTACGAGTTTGTTTTACGTTTAAAGTATTCGTAACGAGTACGCGTTCGGCGCTGTGATTGGCTGGCGCCAATGAACCAACCAATCAGAGCGCCGAACGCGTACTCGTTACGATTACTTTAAACATATAACAAACTCGTCCTAAGGCCTCATTTTTATGTGGTTCTTGAATACTGCAGGCTGATCTAGTACATTACTACATTTTAGCTCACTCACAGTTATTGCTGCATAAAACTTACGATTGACTGCACGGTCGGTGGTTGGGCAACTGGCTGCCGCGCAACATGTCCTGGGTTCGATTCCCGCACCGAACAATTTTTTGTGTGAACCACAAATTGTTGTTCCGGGTCTGGGTGTCATGTGTATGTGAACTTGTATATTTGTAAACGTACCTACGACACAGGACAAACTTCTAGTGTGAGGCAATGTTTTTAAAAAAATAAAAAACACTGATAATGACACAATAATATTGAGTACTTAGTTTTCTCGTTGCAGCGAAAATGTAGACCTTGTGGTTGAAACATTACTCCATTTCAGGTCAACAGTTTTAGTCTAGCTCTGATGTGCAATCAAAAAAGGAAATTCGATATATTTTATTAACAATTTATTCTGTTTATTTAGTTGGGGTGACGCAGCAGTGAGCCTGCACCATATATCTGCTGGCTTCGACCAGGAAGCGGCCGCCGTGGTGATGGCTCGCCTTGTCGTCTACCGCGCGGAACTAGAGGACGGACCCGATGTACTACGCTGGCTCGATCGGATGCTTATCAGATTGGTAAGACTAGAACTTGAAAACGTATCATAAGAATTTATAATATGTCTTATGTTACCTGAACTTCTCACGATGTATAGACTAAAGGCATTCTTAGTGGCCACAGACTCGATGAAAGATGTTGGAGACAAAAAAAGCTAACTGATACTTGTTAGACCATTTTATAGAAATTGAATGTAACATGGAAATGAGAGCCCTGAGAAGTATGTGTGGACTAAAATTGTGTGTGTGAGTGAAGTGAAAAATAGTGTTATTAGAGAAAGGTATGGATTGAAAGATGATGTAGTGACAAGGATTGAAAAGGGAATGTTACGCTGGTTTGGACGTGTAGAAAGGATGGATGAAAGTAGAGTAACGAAAGAAGTATACAGAGTGGATATGAATGGGGCCATCGGTAGAGGGCGCCCTAGACGGACATATACCAGATTGGCGATATATTAAAGAAGGGCCAAATTAAAAGTACCCTTAACCGACGAGCATGCATGAAAAGATTGATGTCTGTTGATGAAGCGAAAGAGGTATGTAGGAATCGTAGTAATTGGCGTTCCCTAGTCTCTGCCTACCCCCATGGGAGACAGGCGTGAAGTTATGTATGTATAAATGTAACATGATAATATAATGTTCATTTAGAATGCCATGTTAGCGTTTCTTTTCTGATTCCTATTTTCATTTTTTTTACTCACTGTTCATCTTACTTTCACTGTTACACAATCTTTTATTGTCTTTTTTGTATTTTATTTATGCTGCATCGTGCCTGGTGCTGAATAAAGGCTTTTTATTTCTTTCTAATGGCCATATGTTTGTGAATTATAATAAAAGCAACATTTTTTTAAACATGGAATCCACATAATATACAAAGTTTTGTTATGTGCGGGAATTGAACCTGTAATTCGTTCGTTCACAGTGTCAGAAGTTCGGTGAATACGGCAAGGACGACCCGAACAGTTTCCGTCTATCCGAGAACTTCAGCCTGTACCCGCAGTTCATGTACCATCTGCGACGCTCACAGTTCCTGCAAGTCTTCAACAACTCGCCTGATGAAACCACTTTCTATAGGTAACCTGATAACTAACATTTAATTTATTTATAACTAGGTACGAGGTAAGTAGGTACATGAATCCCAACTAATATTAAAGTTTTTTTCTTGTTTGTTAATTATTAGCTCTTGTCAGTTTATGTACTGAACTAAACTTCTTAAAATTTTGCATTCATTTATTTGAGAGTCTGGACAAAGGCATCTTTCACGCGGACAGAGCCACGGGTAAAAGCTAACATCCGGTATTTGTCAAAATTACAAAACAATTGCAAGTAAAAACTATCTTAATAAAACTAATTTAAATTTCACAGGCACATGTTGATGCGTGAGGATTTGACACAGTCCCTCATCATGATCCAGCCGATCCTGTACTCGTACAGCTTCGGAGGTCCACCGGAGCCAGTTCTACTGGACACGTCTTCCATCCAGCCCGACCGCATCCTGCTCATGGATACCTTCTTCCAAATACTTATTTATCATGGAGAGGTAAGATATTTATTAAAACTCCAGATAGATATAGATACATGTTTTATGAATTCAATTTTTATGTTTTATTTTATACTAGATTTTAGTACTATTGCGACTTTTACTATTGCGACTTGCCGGGCAAGGGGTCTAGGATTCGATTCCAGAGTCGGGCAAAATATTACTGGGTTTTTTTTTCAAAAAATCTCAGTAGTAGCACGGAGTCTGGAATTGTGCCTCGTAAATGGCAATAGGCTCACCCCTATTACATGGGACTCATAACATAAATAGTGAAAAGTGGGTGTAAGGTGTTACATTGTACAGTGGCATTAAGTGCCGTAATGTACACCTCTGCAAAGGCGTGATGTTATGTTATGTTAGATTTTAGTAGGTTGACGTTTGGCTACATCATCACTTATCATCAGGCGAGATGGTGGTCAAACGTCAACCTACCTATGAATGTTAAATTTGTATCCTCACACTAGCATTTTCTCATGTGTCGTGGGTGCGTTTACATACATAGACTAGACACCCAGACCAGAAACAATAATCCGTGGATCACACAAAGAGTTGTCCCGTACGGGAATAGGGTAGATGACTAATTTTTATTTTGATGTCCGTCTGGTAGATTATTTTAAAACATTACACACGTATTTTTATTTTTTACAGAAACGAATTCTTTCGACGATGTATTGATTTGAAATGTCGCGTGACGTCACTTCTATGTACATTTTATACGTAGAAATGACGTTTTAGCCCCCACTCCTAAACTTTGATTCGTTGTATCTAAGTATCATTTTATTATATAACAAAATAATAATACGTTTCTAAAATTTTTTCATTACCTAACTGACGGACTAATTAGATTTTTAATTTTCATACCCTGTCATCATCCCTATTGAACACGCGACTCGTTGCCCTGCAGCCAGTTCGCCCAACCACAACCGTGCACTCTCTTTTACAAAACAATAATTAAAGTTCCTTACGTAATATTGCAAATGCAATTACTGTCCTAATTATCGCTATATCTTTTATGCGACATCATGCAACAGATTAATGTTCTATCTTCCTCTCTAGACGATAGCGCAATGGCGTGAACTGCGCTACCAAGACATGGCTGAGTACGAGAGCTTTGCGCAGCTGTTGCGGGCGCCCATCGACGACGCGCAGGAGATACTGCAGAGCAGGTTCCCAGTACCGCGGTATATCGACACTGAACACGGAGGCTCACAGGTACACTGTGATACTATACTTTATCTTAGTATAATTAGAGTGTTAATTCCTATATGTAAGGTTATAGTTTTGTCATCATCATTATCATTTATTAGCGTCCACTGTATTTTGATACCACGGCCTCACAGGAAACCAACGTGAAACAATACCGGAGGCCCAATTACACCCCCTCCACAATCCCCGAATCCCCAAAAATCCTCAAATTTCTATACTCGGAATTTTAATTCGATTCCAGATTTGACAATTTCAATGTTGCAACGTTATGACAAGTACTAAATAGTGACGTTGCGAAATTATTCGATATGGAAATGCAATATTTCTGGATCGATTCTTCATGTTTATAATTTTACTCTCGTATACTAAGTATTTTTGGAAATTAAATATTTCTGAACCGATTAATTAGTTTTGACGATAAATTGCTTAGATCTTTAAAACTACGCAACGGATTTTGATGCGGTTTTTTTTAATAGATAGAGTGATTCTTAAGGAAGGTTTGTATGTATAATACATGCATATAGCACTCGTGCGAAGCCGGGGAGGGTCGCTAGTTTATTATAAAACACACACACTGATTGTTTATCGATTTTTGTGTTCATCACTAAACTATTATATGTGGTATCATTATTTCACAAAATGACAGTAGCTATTGTCAAATCTGGAATCTATAAAATTATGACTATAATCCCCGAAAGGCCGGTAACGGCCTTTGGTGTTTCGGGTGTCCACGGGAGGCGCCGATTGCTTACCATCAGGTGATTAGTGAGCTCATTTACCGGCTTAGCCAATAAAAAAAAATTGCGGAACATAGGTCGTTGGATCCAATGCCTTCCTTCCTGCGAGTCTAATTGGATGAGGGCATAAAAGCAAAAAAATATTTTTATATCTGTCATTTTGCACATGTCATGTTATACAAGCTTCTACCAATGATATTGATCGAGTTACTGTATAAAAAATGGTGTATGTGTGCGTACTTCGGTGCTAACTTTAATCAAGATACGTCTAGCTGTCTTGACTTGATTGATTGAAGTGTTAGAAAAAACACAATTATGTAATTTTTAATAAAATCTCTTATGAACCATTAATAATAGTGTAATAATATTTTATGACAAACTTATATTGTAAACTATGTGACTACGCTACGGTTCCTCAACGCTTGGCAGTTGTTCGGCGGAATTCTTCATATTATTCGCCAACATCTTCTCCAACATGTCGGTCACCTTTTGTTGCGACTTTAGAAAGTTCGTGAAGTGCGTGTCGTCGTACCTCGTCCGTTCCTTCTCCTTTATAATAGGCACCTGATGCCTAGCAGGTATTTCTTCATAACTGTTTTCTACCGACACTGATTTTATTTCTTTCCAATTGTTTCGCGGCCAATCCTCGACCCTTTCTAGGTTTTCATGAAACTTTGTTGGTTCGTGTCTCTCATAGTTAGAATAACCATGACCTCTCGAGTTGTGCTTCATTACATCCAAATTACCTTTGTCACTCTGTTGGCTAAAAGGCTGATTATACTCATGTTGATGTATTCTCCCGGTGTACGGTAGATTCTCAGAGTAACTCATACTTGACGCACGATTCAAATCCTGCAAGTGACTCAAACTGCCCTTGAACCTCGAGTCTACTGGATGAGTGTCGTCGTGGCGAACGTCGTCACTATATTCATGGTAATACCACGGCTTATCTCTATCCTTAATAAATCTACTCTTGTAAGCAATTCTGTCATCGTGTCTATTGATATTGTCTGCAAATTGCACTTTTGTAAGATCCGAATGAGGCATCCGAAAGTTGTCTTCGATCCGTTTCTTACTCTCTCGTTGTAGTTCTTGTTTTATTTTATCGTTTGGATCTTGTGTAGTGATCACAACATGTTGGTTCATGGCCTTTAAAGGCTTGGATATTTGTATCGCGAGAGGGGCTATCTGGTCGTCATTAGTTTGTATAGTAATAGGCCGGTTGTATAAATGAGCTATGTATGGCAAGCTTTGCGCGTTGTTTACTATTTGCTCGTTAAGGTTGGGTGGACTTTTTACCATGTACGGGTTAAATATTTGCGGATACTTTTGTATGGGATAATTTTTTGTGACAGGGTGTGTAACTTTCCGTAGTATCGCTGTAGCAATACTCACAGTGGTGGGCCGCGGCGCCTGAGTGGTGGCCGTGGTAGTAGGTTCCTTTATACCTTTTAACTCTTTGAATATTTCCATTAGCTGCTGCATGACTGGGTTCGCATCTGTGTTTTTCTGCATCGTTGATGACTTTTCTGCAATATATGTACTTTAAGTTATTATTGTTGTTTGATGAAATGAATATAGTATTGTAATTGGGAGAGACTTACCAGACGTGACTCGCGGGAAAGGTGTAGTGGTTGTTGTAGAAGGAGTTCTTGGAACAGAGACTTCAGTCGTGGAGGTCCCAACAGTGGTGGTCCCAACAGTGGTGGTCCCAACAGTTCTGATAGTAACACCTTCCTCTATATCCTTTAGCACTATTTCTTTGACTTTTTCTGCAATCTCTTTAATAATTTTAGGTGATAAAGGTTGAGCTTCTTCAATCGCTCTTACTTTTACGATTGGATGTGAACCTGCCGCTGGTTGCGAACCTGTTGCTGGTTGTATATCTACTGCTCGTTGCGAACCAATTGCTGGTTGCAAAGCTACTGCTGGATGTGAGTCTATCAATGGTTGCAAACCGTTTGCTGGTTGCAACGCTACTACTGATGGCAAACCTATTACTGGTTCCAAACGCTTTGCTGGTTGGAAACCCCCTGCTGATTGCTGTTCATGATTGGTAACATCTGGCGTGTCACGCCTTTTCACTTGAAGCATGGAATCAGAGTTATGTCGCCATTTATTAATGATCGGTGAGTCAATCCTATATTGACGATTTCGTGAAACGTTCGTGTTTTCTATTACATGTTGCCGATTACTAGGACCTTTTTTTTTCATTTCATTGTTCATGGTCAGTTCATTATTCATGTAACGATAATTTGCTTGTTCTTTTTTATACGCATTTCCTAATTGTCTCCTCTCGATAACCAAATCATCACCTGACTTGGAACAATCATTCTCGTCGGATGTAATTTCAACGTGTTGTTTCATTGCACTGTGTGTATGTGTTGAATGCTTGTTTTGTTTCTTGTGTTTCTTTGATAGTAGCATGGACTTAAATGTTTTAGGTTGCACATCGCGATAATGGTGCCTTTTATGTTTTCCCTTATGTTTGTCTGTTTCTGCAGATTGTGCTTGATTGTTAACTAAATTTAAATAATGCGGTTGTTCAGTTTTGTAACTAACTTCTCGTTCGTCGTCCGATTTGGAAAACCTCCTTATAGATTTAATTTGTGTTAATTTATCTTTCATCATTTGTGAAGTTCGAGAACGATTACTTGCAGCAAACCGTTTTGCATAATCTCCTGTTGCTAAAACATGATTAGATTTTTTCGTAGGATATACTCGTACTGGGTTCCATTGTTTCATTTCTATTGTACCTGGATTATTCTCGACATTTCTCTTTTTCTCTAAGAGTTGTGAGCTATTTTTTACCTCATTTAAATAGGGAAGTACGTTATTGTGTTTGTAGCGATGATTAATTACTGGACCGTCGTGATGTTTATTTTTTATCTTCTCAGTTTTTTTCATTGTAGTTTTGCCGTAAGAGATCGTTGATGCAAAATTCTCGAAATCCTCTTGGACTTGAAGAAGACTGTTTAGAAGTTTCGATGAATTACTTTCGTTGGACTGCTTTTTTGTCGTTGTTTCGACTCTCGGAATTTGACTGTGTGGCGTTTCCTGTGTCTCCTTGTAATGGTGCGAACTATTATACGTTATTTTCAACGGATAGCCTTCAGCTGCGTTCAAAATAGACTCGATTAACATACTCGAGCGCAAATCATCTTTTGTAAAGTTGTAAAAATTGCTTAATTCATTAATTTGTTCTTTTAATGAAGGTATAATATTTTTAGAATCACGTGTAATATTGTGGTCTTTGACTGGTTCTTTATCGGGGTTTGCAACGTTACTCTTTGGTGTAAATTCAGCGTATTCACTTTTAGTTACTTTCTTTTCGATTGTGAAACCGCTTTCGGTCTCTATGTATTCTGCTAGAAGTTTACTGATCAATTCAATTTCTTTTGCGTGTAAGTTTGCATTGTTTGTTTCTATGTGTAATGACGAAGTGAAATTCTTCTCTGTGTTCGTATTGGGTGCTGTGGGCATCGGTGACATCGTCGGCATTTTTGTAGCAACTGTCTTCGCGTGATGCGTCAGTTTGCTCCAAAAATCCAACACGCTTTCCACGTCTGGTTGATTCTTTACAAACTTAATTTCCAAATCTTTGTTCTCTTCAACGTTCGATACATTTCCCAACTCCCGAAGTATCACGGGAGGTATCTGATATGATGTCTGTGCTGTATCGTATGTTACATTACTTTTGTTAATTTTCGTTTCATCTTTATGCTCTGTTGTATCTTCAAAGTTTTGTGCGAACCGCACATTTAATTTCGGATTTATTCCGAGTGAATTTAAAATTTGTTCAGCGCCTTAAAAAGAATTTACATTATTTACCTACATTTTTTCTTGTTTATGTGTATTTTCATATATTATAATAAACTTACGTTTTTCAGTAACTGGTATTCTGAATGCTTCCGTTGGTAGTGTAGTTACGGGTACTTCACTTGTTACTTGGATGTTGTTATTAATTCCTTTTGTTGTATAAGGGTTTGATATACATTCTTGGTGGTGTCTAAAGATGAAATTGATGTTCATTATAAAATTAAATATTTTTACTATTTTATGATACAAAGTTTTAAATTAGAGTTTTTAAAAGAATTCAGTCGAAAACTGCCTCGTTGGCAGAGTGGTCGCAAGTGTGACTGCCGGGCAAGGGGTCTCGGATTCGATTCCCGGGTCGGACAAAGTATTACTGGGTTTTTAAAAATTATCAGTAGTAGCACAGAGTCCGGACTTGTGCCCGATATATGGCAATAGGCTCACCCCCTATTACATGAGACTCATAACAAAAATAGTGAAAAGTGGGTGTTACATTGTACAGTGGCATAATGTACACCTCTGTCTACCCCTTCGGGGATAAAAGGCGTGATGTTATGTTCAGTACATTAACTATGTGGTTGATAAAGGTAACACTCACTCATTGTACATATCATCGATGTTTACATTATATCGGCGCAGCTTCGACAATGTGCTGGCGTTCAGGTCCTCCTTTTGCAGTCCACTCAACAATAACATACACACCACATCTGAAAACTATCACAAATTAACTAACGTCACCACACGAGCGGCCGAAAAGTGACAAGAGACCTTCAACACGTTATACGGAAAAGTTCACAAGTATCGACATATTGGGAGTAATTTTACACGTAGTTAAAATGCATGTACGTAAAGTTTAAGAGATTTATTATTGGAACCTTTTATCTGGACTATCGTCCGTGGGCCCTGGTTGTGTACGATTATTTCACTTGTGAACGTACATGTTATTGCTACTGCAGTCAGTATAGCTCGGCACCACATTTCGTTATCGCGCTGAATACTCGATCGTTTCCATTGTTTTTGCCAACTACGTGTGGCTCGCGGAAAAGAATAGGCAACTTGTGCGCTCACTGATATCTCAGTTGTGAATTGTTTTGCAGGTGGCAACACCACAGTTGCTATAATACTTTTTTTTTTTTGCAAATTGTCCCTTGTTACACGTTCTTTGATAAAAATGTGCGATGTTATAGTGTGAAAGGAGGTTTTATATAAATCGTTTTACTTTTTTTACAATAGATTCCAAATTAAAACTTTCAATGCGCGGGAAAAGTTACCTTGTGAAAAATTAGTAAAGTTTACTTAATTTAATTATTTTTTAGTATTTTGAAAGAAATGGTAATAATGCAATTATTATTTGTTTCAGGCCCGGTTCCTCTTGTCGAAGGTCAACCCTTCACAGACCCATAACAACATGTACGCGTATGGCGGGGTGAGTGACAAAGCTTTAGCAAACTAGATGTTCCAAATCACAATAATCTATACTAGTCCTAAATATCTTAATTGTTGTTGTACTGTATTGTATTGTAAATGCATGGCGTTCAGCCTTGTTTTTTTTTTCTAGTCATCAAAATTTGCATGGTGTGCCACCATAGAGCATGGTGTGAATTTGATTTTGTTTTTTTTTGTTCCATCATTGTTATGGCGATATCCAGGCGATGCCGATTCCATCAGCGGTAGTGACTTTTTATCTTTTTTTTATTGGTGTTGGCTTTCTAATTCTGCGTTTTAATTTGTCTAACAGATCTGCTTTAGCTACTAAGCAGTTTTTTTCTAGTTCTACCAGACAATCACTAGGTATTTTAAATTAAAAGTATTTTGAGGATTGACTTCAGTTAATAAATACTTTTGTTCTATTCTATAGTTTTCTTTTTTTTCAGTTCAAATTAATCGTTCATTTTCCATATTTATGCAAATAAAGTTTTATTTTAAAATAGACTAGTGATCGTCTTGTTGTAGCTTCTCTTGCAGATTTTAGATTTGATTACGTGGAACTAAAATACATAAAATAATATTTATTGTATTATATTGTAACGAACATTTAGCCTATTTTCTTGTATGCGTTTGACGCCGACCAACGCATGGACCACGCGTCGAGTCGGTCAATGATTTTCCTTATTTGAATTTACAGTGTTCCAATTTTTTTTTACTTTTTTTTAAAACGATTTCTTTTGCATGTTTTGTGTGCGTTTTGATGAAAAACAATAGCTTCTCTATACTAACCATAGATTAAGAATCTCAGGAAGCGAAAGAGGGATTATTTTATTTTATTTACTAGTAAATAAATTGAAATAGTGTAAGGTGTTACTGTACTGAACTACTGAGCGATGGGCGATGTAATAAAAATAGAATTACTGATTTAAATCATAATTGCACGCTTGGCGCGGTGGCTGGGCAACTGACTGCCGCAGAACGTGTCGCGGGAATCGAACACAACATGACCCCAGGGTCATCTGTATGTGAACTTTTATGTTTTTAAGGCAACCACGACACAAGAGAAAATCCTAGAATGGGGCAAAATTTAAACAAAAAGCTATAAACTATATAAATATTTGAAGATTGTAATATTATTTGAAATTGCAATATCATACGTCTGTCAGTATAGTAACACCCAATAATTAATAGTTTTTTTCAGCTATGGTGTTACAGGTTATTTTAAATTCGAGACAGAATATTTATTTTTAATACTAACAAATAAGTACAATTTGAGTATCTTACTGGGTCTTTTTTAAATCTCCGTTCAAACTTATAAAAAGATGACCAATATTTTGGATGGTATTAACAGTTGTGAATATTACATGTGTTACAATATTATTGCAACACTTATAGAAGTTTGTACACTTATTCCGGTGGCGGTCTTTCTTAAAAGTCTAAATTATTCAAACAACCTTTTTACACATTCACAGGACGGTGGCGCCCCCGTGCTGACAGACGACGTTTCGCTGCAAGTGTTTATGGAACATCTGAAGAAATTGGCTGTATCGTCCACAGCTTAAAAACAATATGGAGTCTCACTTGCTTCAGAACTGATTGCTATTGGGTTCAAAGTCCTTTATGCATGTTTTAAGTTGTGCGCGATTGGTCCCCCGAGTGAAGGGATGGAATAATCAAGCGAAAATAGGCTTTGTGTACAGTGCAATAACAGTTTACATGAAAAGTATTTCTTTACTTACAAGGCGGGAAAATCGCGCATGTATTTATCAGACTTTTATAGTGTTATGTATCTATCATAAATTTATATTATGTATGTACTTATTATCCCATTAGTAGTTAGGGTATTTGACCCATTTATAGTTCGGTTGCATACTCGAATATACTGGGGATACGGTCGATGATAAAGTTGCTGAATATCCACCTTCGCAGTATTACATTCAGAGCCAGAGTACTTTGGACCTTATCATCAGGGGTTTCAGTCTTTTATCTTATGATTTAGTATATAATCTTATTTTTTGTAGTCTGCACGTGTATATCTAATAGTATCAGTTCTGAGAATTATAATATATTGCGTGGTTATCCAAATTGTTTTTCCAATTAAGTTAAAAATAATTTTCTACTATACAATGTAAATTATATGAAATTAAAATGTTTATGAAATTCGTCTTTGCTTATTTTGTGTCATTTTTTATACTTTATGTCCGTAATGTTATTTTTTAAAATGACATCACGCCTTTTATCCCCGAAGGGGTAGTCAGAGGTGCACATTACGGCACTTAATACCACTGTACAATGTAACACCCACTTTTCATTATTTATGTTATGAGTCCCATGTAATAGGGGGTGAGCCTATTGACATATACCGGGCACAATTCCAGACTATGAGATTTTTTTAAAAACCTAGTAATACGTTGCCCGACCCGGGAATCGAAGCCGAGACCCCTTGCCCGGCAGTTGCACTTGCGACCACTCGGCCAATGAGGCAGTAAATGTTATTTTTTATGATGTGAGAAAATTGATGCAATACTCATAGTCTACTACACCAATGGTCTTGCAAGGACATTTCAGAATAATAAAACTGGTGTTTGTTGTACAAAAAATATTTATTCCTAACTTCTAAACATCAACTTGAACATGAAATAAATACATAAACATTCAAATCAAGTTACTTCATATTAAAAGTAAAATAAATTATCATATTATACATACAGCTTCGTTAGCCAGAATAAGCAAAATAATTAACATAATTTATTGAAACAAAAGGCTTTGAAACGGAACAGAAACAATAAGAAAAAAAAACAAAACATATTATTTTTTGTGTAGATAATCACTAGCATCAACAGCTATGTACTACACATTACTGAGACTAAATAATTGTTAATTCTCTATATATTTTTCTATCTATTGAATAACAAGTTTCAACAAGTTAAATGCTGCTATTGTTGATCGTTTATGTGTGCAGTTATTATCAAACGCCCATGAGTCTACTGCTAGACTATGTGCTTCCTCTACAAAAGAGTGGTTAGGTATAATGCGGTGCGGTTATCAAGTCTATTCAATTAGAATAAATGCGTTAATAGAAAACAAAGTACAGTCAGCAAAATTATTTGGTATACAGGGGGCTTAGTACGACTCTGTTTAAGAATACATGTAAGTACCAAGCACGAATGTCTATCGCATTCGTAACGTAATCGTATCGAGCGCGTTCGGCGCTGATTGGTTGGTTCACTGGAGCCGGCCAATTAGCTGGCTTACTCTTGAATCCAATTCCGATCGATCGACATTGGTATTGTGAAATTTCGTACTCTTGAGTTGCAACACTAGCGCCCATTGCATCCGTATTGCGTGGATATTGAATGAACTAAATGGTATTGAGTTCGGCTTTATATTCCGTACTCTGAATGCTATTGTAACAGCTACGATTGTGGTTGTATAGTTTTGACATTGAATAATTATTGAGATTTTATTGGATTGAAATTGCATTGACATTGAGATTGGTTTCAAGAGTAAGCACCCAGACCGCCGAACGCGCTCGATAGTATTCGTGTTTATTCGTGCTTGGCATTCTGATTTGCCAGTTCCAATGAACCAACTAATCAAGAGTGTCGAATGTGGTCTCGTTTCTATCTCGTTGAACGTAAAACAAACTCACTAAGCCGGTAAATAAAGATTCAGTATACAGACAGTACTTATCGTTTTAAATTGTCAGTGTACTATTTTTTTTTATTTTTTACCAATATACCAAATACCTTGGTTAACTATACATCTATGGATCTAGGCTAATGCTAGATGTGCCGATTACGAGTCAAATAAATCTATCGACCCTCTAAGTTTATATTAAGTGTCGAATTTTTGCTTTTTTAAGATAAAACAAGTCTGTACACATAGATAAATAATAGAGCTAGCTATAGAATTTTTTAAATGCCATGTAGGCTATGGTTAGATTAAAAAATAACGACCAAAATATGTTTCTTTTTATGATAGCCTATGTTAGACAGCTATTTTTTTTAACTCTTACGATATAGAACTATTTATTAAATTCATCGCCGCTATTTATCACAAGTCATTGCCAATACTAAATCAATCACATAAAAGTAAAAATATAATTGCATTAAATAACATAGCTTGCTACATATCAACAATTCAATATGATCTTTAGTATTTAACATCCGCTGTTTTTCTTTTTTGTCTTCACATTTCTTTTCATTTCCCTATTTTAGCATAATTTTTGTTACATCTATTATGTGATGTAGATCAATAAATACATTTTATCACACAGTTTTGCCTAAAACGATAAACTAAAATAGACCTAATCTAACCCAAATTAAGAACTAAATCTCCAAAACACTCAAGTAACTCATGTACATACATCTTACACATTTAATTATTTCTTGTTAAACAGCCCATATATGAGTATGGCTAGTATAAACATTAATATGTACTTAATGTTGTCGGTTCAGGAGTGTGGAGGTCAGTTGAGGAAACGGATGGACATCTTCTGTTCCACATCTGTCCGTTCCAAAGCATGACAGAACTCCTCAAAGCATATCATCTGGTCATTGTTGGTGTCCGCTTCCAAGATTGTGCGTTCCGCAATGCTGGTCAATTGTTCTTCACTGGAATTTGAGAATATTGTGACATTTAGATGATGATTCCTTTCATTAGATACAAAAGAAGACTAACTGACTAACTTGTATAATTATTAACGATTAGTAGTAACGTGTATATTATCGATTCGTGTTCTACGAGTCGAAAACTACTTTATGGTGATGAGAAAATTCATTATCTGTCGCGCTGGTGCTGTAGCAGTCGCCGCGTCGTGGGTCGCGGAATGCTGCTCATAAATATGAACCTTTAGCATAGCTTGAAACTAGTCAAGTTCCTCGTCAAACAGTTCGTGAGTAAGCCGAAAACATAAATTTAGTATGTCTCATAATGCTACATTTACATTCTCGCACGAGTCGAGACGAGGCCGAGATACATTGTCGTTATTCTAAAAGAGTTGTAGTCTTTCTAGCACTATAAGACTGCAATGTACCTCAACCTCGTGTCATCTCGCGCGAGTGTAAATCTAGCATAAAAGTTTTAATATAGGAAACTCATTGCTGTATTACCTACTATAACAAATACGACCAACGGACTTCTTATGACACCCTAAAGTCAGAATGGATCCATTGAGGGAAAGAAACAGAGTTATCCATTGAGGGAAAGAAATAGATCTCGTTCCCTCAGCGGAACCCCTCTGGCGTTAAATCGTCATAATACGCCATCTGAATTTCTTTTCATATTCGTTTAAAAAGAGACTTAATTGTTAATTTTACGTCAAACAATCACCTTATATCACTATTATATAAATTTGTTTTTTTGTTTGAACGCGCTAATCTCCGTAAGTCTGATTTGAATAATTCTTCTCGTGTTGGATAGTGCATTTATCGAGGATGGCTGAAGGCTACAAAACATCACGCTAAGACCAATAGGAGCTGAGCAGAGCGTGTGAAACCGCGGAAGTAGCTAGTAGGTAATATAATTTATCTGATCTAGAGACTTGAGAAAGGAATTAATTCAGTAACCAAATTACAATAGTGTTGGCGTAGTCTGTAGTTTTTGTTTCTATTCAATTATAATTATGAAACTCGGTTCTCCATAACTGTGCGCGTCTTATCAGGTCACGGCCTAATCGCTAAGGTCACACGTGTACTATTTGTACTCCTTAAGCACCTATTTATCATTTACAAACTTATTCATACCTGCATAGAGTTGACATTGCATTGTAAGCATGTTTACAGTAATATGGATATTTTTATCAACAGATTTCTAAGTGCTTACAAATATTCAATTTTTGCGTTCCTTATCTTAATCTAAAGACATTATTATCCGATTACATGTATAAAACCATAAAATAAAATTAATACAGTTTGTGCTATAAATTACGACATCTTATCAAAGAGGTATTTAAAAATCAATTTTTTTCGACATTGGGAGATTTGTTTTCAGAGAGTATTATTACTAGTACTATTTCAATGTCAAAGTCAATGCATTTATTTCAATTTATCCTTAAAAAGGCACTTTTGAAATGCCAAAAATTGAATTGTCCGTCCGTCTGTCAGTTGAGTGATCTCAGGCAGAATGGAAAAGAATGAGCAAGAAACTAAAATGTTACTCTTTTAAAAAAATGTTTTTTAGAGTTTTATTGATACATTATCTGACCCTTTTATATAATATGTGAGAACGATATTGTTACCAAACAATTTATTATTACAGGACTTTGGTCCTTATGGTAATGTAACTCTAATTACGTCTTGACCTAATTAACTCGTTCAGTACCGTCATTATAGACACAATTAAAGAACATTAGGTTGCAGTCACCGGTGTCCTCGCAGTGTTTGACAGTTTAAGAGAGAAATTTTGTAAATTCAATATTGGTAAACCGCAGGCGGAAAGTTAGAGGATCATGAATAAGTTCCAAAGCTTTGACATAATCGGTCTATGTATTAGAATTATTACCTGATATTAGCTCCAACCATCATGTGTAGTATGGCCAACAATTCATCTCTTGAGATTTTACCATCGTTGTCCAAGTCATACATTGAAAATGCAACTGGAAACAAACAGAAATTGTAATAATTGATAGCTTACAGGTCTACAGCTCTTACATTTCTTTACATTAACAAAATACTACACTAATATTTTAACTAATCTGGATCTGAATATGAGTTGGAATATAAGAAAAAACTTGCCCAAACTAAGATTTTCAACCATATAGTGGAGTAGGCTGCGTGACATCGTTGTGACCGCACACTCTGCTCATGAGGAAGAACCCCTCTGTGGTTCGAAACTAGTAGAGCTTTTCTCAGTATATTTATGCAAGTAACCCGCGATTTTTAGTTAATATAGTGGTGTGTTTATAAATACATATTACACATCACACCTACTACCTAGACCCAAAACAATGATCTCTAAACTAGATTGCTGTGAAATGAAACTCAATAAATACACCCTGTGTCTTACTAAGATCTATACCCAAGAGTTAATGTAATATCTTGCTGTAAAACAAATATTACTGTCTTACTTACATCTCAATTTCTCATCTCTACTATTTAGCTTGTTCTCTCTGTTTTTCCTGATGGGCCTGAAGTGTGCGAGCACTCTCATGAACTGTAAGAAGTTCACTCTGTCATCATGGCTCTCCGCAAAGAAAGAGTGGACAATACGCTCGCTCAGTGGGTTGATAGCTAACTCCGGTATCCTTAGGAAATCCTCCCGGGACAGTGTGCCACAGTCATTCTTGTCTAGTGATGTGAATCGAGAATACAGCCTTTCAATTTGGTTTGGTGTGACTGTGGAGTATAAAAACAAAGATGTGATTAAAAAACAGCAGTGAATTGCTTTTTATGTGCATAATGGAAGAGCAAATAGAACAAACCAAGAACAAAAATAATATTTGTCGTTGTTTACATAAAATAGTGGTGTTAATCACCAGTTTAATCTACTCTTAATTTGATTGAGTTTTAGGGAATGCTAATAATTGTAACTTACACCCAGTTTCCTCTTGAATTTGAGCGATTTCTTCCTCACGCAACAATAGAGATGATTTGTTGCCCATGTTGAATTTATTAACGTAATAATATCACTGAGACACCTTGTACCTTGTAGGCTATTCGTAAATGTATAATTCTATTTACACAATCAAAGTCCACACTCCGTAGTAATGTTATCGGTACTGCTCACTACGGATAAAGGACTTATTGGAGAATGCCTTTATACCACAACAACAAAAAATACGAAGAGCAAAGTTCACTTTTTTACAAAAGAAAATTTAAGTTATTTATGCTTACGAGTAATTAATAGCCTATCTCAATATTGTTTTTAATTTTTGCTGATGCAAATTAGATTTTTGTATTTATAATGATGTTTTGTCTTTATTTTAATAATGCAAAAAAACCGAAGTGAGAAAAGGAATGAAAATCAATGCAAATGTGTGAAATTTTCGACTACGTGACGTTGACATTGACATTAGACAGATAGAAATACGTTCAGAAACAGAACTTCAGAAGCAAAAAGTGAAACATTACGCAGCTAGGTAACTAGCAAACATTTTACTTATTTAGTCACACATACGATTAATAAAAATATTAACACATAATATTTTAAAGTAATGAGATGTCATTAATGCGGTAAACAGTTAAACAGTACAAGTTCCACCATGGTGTTTTGAAATGATAATTTTAAACACGTTGCATGGAAACCATGACAGAGACTGAAATCCTGAAAATGTTATGTCAAAATTGTTGTTGATAAATATCAACAGTGTCGAGTTCCTGAAATAAAACACAGTTTTTATATTATTCGAGTTCAATAAAACTAGTATTTAGATGAATATTTTATGTGGGTAGGTAGCTAATTTTCAAAATGAGTACTGGTCCAACTGTAAAAGTAATAGCACCGGACCATCGTCCTTCGGAACAAAAGGTAACCGAACAAGACAGTCCCGATAAACAACCACTGGATACAGTAGAAGAGGTTAATGAAAATGTGCTCAGTGAGATTTTTGAACGTCCATTTGAGCAAGAAGATTTTGTCGAAATACCCGCAAAAATATTTGGATTGAAGGAAGTTTTGGAGCCGTTAACAATACCGGGGTTAAATAATGCAATATATGAACTGGGCGTGGTTAATATGTGCTGGCCTGAGATCAGCGAACCCGTATTTGAAACACGAACATGTTTCCCGCCAAGTTACTACACGAACAGTCCTAAAGAACGTTTGCTTTTGGCTTATGCGGAGAACTTTAGGCGCCAGTACAATTTTCATTATAAACTACGAAAACCTATTTTGTTGCAAGTCCCGAATGAATGTGGTTTACAGGTACCTAAGTAATTCACTTATATTGGTATTACTTATCTGTACTTATTCTAAAGTAGTTATAACTGGACTTAATAGATAAACAGTTTCTTAAGGGTCGACAGGACGCATGTAATGCCCCTAGTATTGCAAGCGTACATAGGCCACGGTAACCGCTTATCATCAGGTGGTCCGTGTGCTTTTTTGCCACCGTAGTGGTATAAAAAAATGTATTCTTCGTTTTTTATTCGTCTTTGGGGTTTCCGAAGACGTAGGCAGACACATATTCACCAGTTAAGTTATTCATCCTATGTAACAGTAGCCATGGGTGTTGTCATACACCTAGTACCGTCTTTACCATAAGGGCATTAGGGCTCGTGCCCAGGGCCCTGAAGGACTGACAATTTGTACAACGGACACACCTGCTAAACGTTACGCGGCAACCAGCTGTCCCGCAACGTGTAGCGGGTTCGATCTTTGTGTGATCCACAAATTGTTGTTTCGGGTCTGGGTGTCATGTGTATGTGAATTTGAATGCTAAACGCACCCACGATACAGGAGGGAATCCTAGTGTGGGGCAATGTTAACAAAAAAAAAACATTCATAAGGGCCCCGAGCGTACGCACGCCTCAAAGAGTCATCAGGCCACCACAGATGGGGTCCAATAGGGCTAATGCCGATACGGAGCCGTGGAGGACGTAACGGGTTGCCGGGGCGCCGGCTCGAAGGGCAAAAGTAGGAACGAGGTGGTTTTTAGTCAGTAATAGTCTGACACTAGGCGGGAGAAATCATTCGATGATTTTCAGCCCTTAAATAAAAAATTGTGGGGCCAAAGGCCCCAGCGTAGTCTAAGACGGCCCAGCATACACCGGGCACAATTCCAGACCCCAGTTATTACAGATAATTTCTAAATAACTACAGGATTACCCGGTAATATATACTTTGCCCGACGAGTTGCGTTTGCTTCCCATTCGACAAAATGGTTGAGTAACAAACGTTGATGTCTTAGCTCCCGTTCAATATAACTCGCTGCACGGTTCCTTTTGATCGTAGCGTAATGTTTTATTACATATTAATGATAATTGCACTATCCACTACAAAAAAAATGATGGTTTACTTTTTTAGAAAATGGTCTGCACTTCTATAAGACCGACGAAACTGAATTTTGATGAAACACATACTTGGGAGGGAGTTGCGTCGTTAGTTTCAGATTACTTCGACTACGAGCCCTTAACCAAGCCGACTTTACACGTGAGTACATAATTATTTAATTCTAGATGAATGATTCTGAAAAAAGCTGTGCATCTGTTGCATCTTTTTGATTCAGAAGAAAATTTGCTGTTATTAATATGTAACAACATTTTTTTTTTTGTGAATGCTTTCATAGTAAAATTCGTAAACTAAGTCTAGCTACACGCGGCAGCGTGCTAAGCCAAGTTCAAGCAAAGGAACTGGCTGACCAGCGCCGTGTAATATTACATGATATTATTTTTTTTAATTCATTCTTCAGTTCTTTATCATTCGAACAGTTAAAAACTATTTTCTGTAGCGTCTTTTCACAACTTTCGTTCTAACCTCACCTATGGATGATAAGAGATACCTAGGAGCTGTTCAGCACTGTCAGGATTCTTGCATTTGCATGAGACATTTCTTAAGACTAGACTTCACAAGACATGAGACTTTCTTATTACTACTAGTTAGCACTCATTTACTTATTAATTATATAGTTTGGGATTTGAGGTGATGGGTCTTGGTCATTTTTACTTTTTTTTCTTGGTAAATCTTGGTCTTCACTACTTCAGAATGTTAGGCTTATTGGGAATTCTCATGGCTTGCCCATCTCAGTATAATGCATGGTTTTCTCAACGGATATCCAGTGCTAATTGTTGATGACTTAGGTAATTGTGAAAGGAAATAAAACAGTGTTAGTTAAAGGTTCAATCGAGTTTAATCATATAACATTTCGAGATCACAAGTCGTGATAAGAGAATTTATAATCCAATTTTCAATTTTGTACAAAATATCATCTCTCAAATATTTTTCCAGTGAGCTAATATTAACGTGAAATGCAAATTAATAGATCTATTTTATGGGAAGGAGACACGATCTTTGAACATTTTTCTCTAATAGAATCGTCACGGTGGATGTCACCGCAACTCACACCATTGGACAATCTCTTACATGTATAACATTAAGATAATACACTCTAATAATTAGGAATGTACTTACAATAATAATAATCTCTCAATAATTTATAATTTTGATCACAGTGTCCTTAACTGTTAAACTTTAACGTATAATACAATTTCGAGTAGACACGTCGACGGTCGGACGTCTACCATATACATAATTATATAAAATACTGAGCAATAGAAAACAATTACACAACGAGTGCCTAGCTAACGCAATAGAGTCATCTATATCTTAACAATATTACCTTGTTCTTACGATTGGCACAACAATACATTCGCATCCTTTCAATATTTGGTATCGGCCGGGAGGTGTCGCCACGCGCCGCGGCTCGGCCACGCCACACACGCGCCACTCTCGCTACACGCTACTTAGTGAACGGTTGAAAGGACGCCGTGCGTGACTTAGTATTAGTTTGACTTGAGGTAGAACATAGGGATTCAACTATAAACTATAGTAAGGGTACAACTAGGAATGTAATCGTCAAATGGCAACATACAGCGGTACTATCTAGACTAAATATTTATTTAACAAGTCAAGTATTTTGTGTGCAACGGTAAGTGACAACGCAGATACATAACATTTAAATTACAACAGGATAACTATCCATCAAGTTTCATATAGATTCAGAAACAAATAGTCCCGAGCCAAACGGGCCGACAGAGGACATGTTTGCGCTGGTCCTCTGTCGGTCCGCGTACTTCGAGTTAAAGACTTACGAACTAAAGAATAATGCATAGCTTTTCTTTTAGAACAAAGAAATTACGCAAATTTGGCTACACATATCACAAGTGAACGCTTACTGGCGACAACGTAACTATGTACATAATTGAAATATTCCCTGTAGCGAGCGAAAGTCCTCGGGGCGTCTACTTGCGGCGGGCGGCATGGTCAGCGGGATGCGCTGGGTGCGCGGGCGCTGGGGCGCGGCGCGCGCGCAAGTTGTGCAGCAGGGCGCGCAGCTGATGCACGTGCATGCGTGTCACGCTGGGATCCCCGCTCGCCTCGAGCCACGCCAGGAACTTGTCGCCGTGCTCTAGAGCCTCAGCTGCACCAGACTCCCACTCACCACTTGCTGGTGATACTGAGCGAGTCTCGGCACTCGCTGACTGGTTGCTGTTGTTGAACAACAAGTTATCGAGGACCGTGCGGGCTTTAGTCTGGCTCCGGCTTGACTCGTGGACTCTTTCAGGTTCTTTATTTTCGGTACCTATTTCTGGACTAGCAGCCGGTTCGGCTACGCGTGGCTCCACGCTGGGAGTGCGGCGTGGTTCTGTATCGTTATGCGGCTGTGTTTGTCCAGAACTCGTTATTACTCCTCGGTCTTCTTCAGTTTTACCTTTTGTTAAATGGGAGTACAGGATATTTTCGGCTGCTTTATCCTTTGGTACCTGAGAGGCAGGTTTGTGCTTATCTTCAGGTAAAGGCATGGCTCCACCAAACTGTTTATAGTACTGCCAGAGCCAAGAGTTTCTGTTGTAATCTAAGTGAGAATTGATCGGTGCCGCTGGGGCTATAGGCTTAGGCGGAATAGGTGGCTCACTCGGTTTTCCAAGCTGCAATGAATGCGCTGTTGTGGTTTGAGCGGTGAGGTCCATCATTGCTTGTTGTGTTTTTAACCAATACCAGAGAGTGTCGTCTACTGGCTGGTTAGCTATAGATGAATGCGACGTACTATGATGACTGGATTTTGACAAGCTTGTGCGATACGGATCTGAATGGTGATGATGAGTCTTGGTACGATGATGGTGTTTACCATCATTCATGTTGAGTACTCCGTTATGTGCAGGCTTAGGAGATCGAACAGAGCGCAGTGCACGACTAGCAGGCTGAGCAGACAACGCCGATAATCCCGGGTTTAGTTGAGCGAGTAACGTTAGATTCGTGGCTATTTCGTTGAAGCTCAGTCCGAGGTGAGAGTGTGTGAGACCCGGCAGATGGGGCAAACCCGACAGTGGACTGATGGCACTCATGGAGACGCTGGCTCCAGGGTCTGGTCGACGTTCGCGAGGTATATGCGATGTCGGAGATGGAACAGCACGTTTAGTGGTGAGTTCAACAGGAGCGTCAAGAGATGGGGTTGGCTGTTGCACGATGGGTACAGAGCTGACAGGCGTGGATAGATCAAGTCCAGTAGCCGCAGGAGACGGTGGGGCGGCAGGGGACTCTGTTCGCGCGCGCTTATCAGGTGGTTCACCATCGTTGCTTTTGTCGGTATCGGGTGAAGATAGCCGAGAGGTCATGTATCGCAGTTTGTCTTCATTCTTGCACCAACCGCGTAGTGTAGACTCGGGTACTCCGATATCGCGAGCTACCGAAGCCTTCGATTCTCCATCATTTACGCGTTGTATAGCCTCGATCTTGTCGCTGGGAGTTAGCGCTCGCATTGGACGCTTGCCCTTGGTCGCCATGGCGGCGTCGCGGCTGCTGTAACAAAAATATATACGTTGAAATATTATGTTCGATCGACTTTTGTTATATTATAGTAATTGGTTGATTACTAACTTATTAGTTGGACAATATTTTCTCAACCTATTTCGATCTACTAGTGGACATAGAACTCTTGAATAACACGCCATTAAGCTTGAGATTTAGCTCTTAGCTTCGAACCACTGCCACTTGGTGGATATCCTGACAAAACCTATCTCGAGGGCGTCTTACACTGTATGTATTTGCCTAGACGCAGTGTCCACTCTAAAATAGATGATTGACAACGGATTTGACCATCGCACAACCAATTTGGTGTACTATTAACTCCTCCTATTTTTTTAACTCCTCCTATTCTTTTTTATTGATATACCAACAATTAACTACTTCAAGCTTTGTCTCCTGAACTAGGCGTTGCCTGTATCTCAGGAGGCAGTATTATAAAAAGGTAGTAATAAGTAGTATACTATTAGGTACTACCTTTACATAATTTAATTAAAATTAGTATAGTTTTAGCGTACTCGTCACAGTACTAGGATCAATGGATAATGCTCATGTTTGATAGTCTACACTTTACTGACCTAGTGTAATTTTACTGACAATCAATTGTATTATGACGTTTTAAAAGTGATAATAAATAATTGGAGTTTGATTTTACTCATTTCTATAACGAAATAACATTTATTAATAAAAAATAAAAGATAATTTTTTTTTAATAAAATGAATACTAAATTAAGTATAATGTCAGATGACAAAAATAAGAGCAATCCTATTAAATTTATATCTGTAAACAAAATGAAATGGCGTACTAAATTAATTAATAGTACATAAATTATTGGAAGTTACATTATAAACCGCAAAGACGACATTGAATTACCAAAAACCTTTAATTTGCAAATAAAACGTCTATAAATTATCCAAAAACAAGTAGTGTTAATAACTGACGCATTTGTACTGACTCTCAATTCATTTCAATAACAATGTTTCATAACATACAACTAATAGCACCATAATGTTTCCACAATAAAATTAAGAAAAATATAACTGGCCGCAAACACTTTTACAACTGTTACCATAAACAAAAACGTTTACGCGGGAAGCTATAAAGTTACGAAAAGATAAACAAAAAGAAGACATAAAATTATGACCTACGACAACAGTAGGCGGCAAAAGTTGTCGGGTCGTTGACACGGTGACCTTGCGAGCGGTTAGCGCGCTTCCACGGGCCGCCGAGAGATGGCGCTGGGCGACCAAACGTTTACATTGCCTGTTTATTTGTATTGAAATGGAAAATAAGTTGATCGCAGTGTTTATGTCATCTGTACATCGCACACTCAACAGTTGTACGCATCAATGTTGTGAAAACGCGGTTTTTCTAGTGATAAAACGAAATGTATTGTTATAATAATAATAAAGCACTTTTACACAATATTATTATTGTTTAAAGTGAACGAGAAAAAGCGGTACTTAGGTATCGATTTTGTAAATAAAATTTGGAATTTTGAAATCAGTGATTTTGATAAAGTGAAATGTTTTAATTAAATCGTCATTTTCAAATTATACGGTCACTTTTACGGCAACCTACGGTAAAGCAGGTAATTGTTTAAAAGTGCACTAATGTAATATTTTATTGTCGGAACATTTATGGCTTGTCTTCATTACATTGTGAGACGAATGACAAACGGTGCACAAATTGAACCCTATTTTAATACGATTTCGAAATTGAAAATGAGTGCAAGTTGGGTAGAACATACATTTTGATACTTATATCCCTGTCTGTTATATCTACAGAGTTTTAAAGGCGGCTTTGTATAATTCAAGTAATTTTGGATATTTTAATTACAACGGTCTGCGTAACTTCCAATTTCTTTTCGCGCCAATAATTGACGAGGGTAATTTGGTATGTAACTAATTAACAGGGGCGTGCACAGAGATTTGAAGTAGGGTAGGCAGAAGGTATCACATGATTAAAAAAAATTTGGTCTACATTAATCTCGGAAAATAAAACTCCCGAAACATCATAATTGTAAGTAATTAGGTTTAGTAAGTATTTTATTAATTTGTATAAACAAATTAGGTACATAATTATTTTCAAACTATCCGTGTATAAAGTTGATCAACATAGATACCTAGGTACCTATCTATTTTACAAATCTATTAACTAGTTACCTACTTTGGAGCGGCGAAGTACAAATGGTTACACATCAAGCTATGCGACACCAGTATAAACTGACCGTTAAATGCATAGAAAAATCGTACAAAGCGAGATCAAGATGACTGGATTTTAAAAACATTAATGAAATTGGTACACAACCAGTGCTAACAAAACAAACTATACCTATAATCGCAAATCGTAGTTTATTAAAAGAAATAATAAAATTATTACCTTTTTTGAGTTACGCCTAGCCCGGACATACGACACACGCAAAATCGCCTTTGGAAATATTTTCGTTTCTTCTTCGAACGACAATAAGGACAACGCACTCATATTTAATTTATTGAACAACACAAATCACCAGCACAGAGCTCACAGCTATAATTTTACATAATTTTCGGTAAATTAACAGTTCATTTAAATTATAATTCATTACATTACAATTTATTCACTTGCACATAAAAACATAACCAAAACAAAATGGCCAAAAAAAACGTAAACAATAAGTTGACCAAAATTAATATATCTATTTTCAATCAACAAACGCTACGTTTTGTTGACTTCTTAAATTAGTCGGATAACGAAGAAGCAGTGCTTTTGCAGTTGTATAGAAATTACCAACCTAACAAAAAAAAAATCCAACATCAGCACGAGAAAACAAGCAAATTGTACCGGCTACGCATTAGTACATGCTTCTGCCACCATCACACAATAGCGAGGTGGCGGCGCCACTGGCGCAATGCTTCAATATATCGAAGAAAGTAGAAAGTGGTTGTAGTACTTCAATATTTTTTCGATAGATGGCGTTAGTGACCAGATTTTCAAATTAAGTATCAATAAAATTACGAAATCTCTGTATGATGTCAGTAAATATTCATGTCGTGTTTATGAGTGACACTATGTATTTGACTATGTAGGTTTACCATGATTTTGTAGGGTATGCAGTGCTTATTTGCATGTATGGTGTGCACGCCACTGCTAATTAACTAAACTAGAGTATAGTTGTAGTAAAAAAGTTGTACCTAGTTTATGTACTTTCGTGAAAAATGGAAAAATCTGTTCGTTTGTTGACGATTCAAGATAGGCTAGTTATGTTTTTACTTTACTTTTTAACTCGCGGATGTTTTTAATCGGCGACGATGTAGGTACCTTCCGAACTTTATTTCTTTTTACAGTTTCTACTAAGTTAGTAGGTACTTGTTTAGTTTTAAAAATATTGGAATGAGGATAAGACACGTAAGCTACCAAATTGCTTTAAGCAAGAACTTCTAAGAATTTATTTTAAACAGACTGAAAACAAAACTAAAATTGCTATCAAGTTTTTCTACCTTAATTCCCATTTCAGAAACAACAAGATCTCTAAGAACTTTTCTAAACATTTTTCACTCACGAAAAGAACAAGAGTTGGTGCACTCAGTTGATGCCTGCGTTAGAGCCTAGCAACATTGATAAGCGAGATATGTAAAAAGTTTGCAACTTACTTGCGAGCCGGCGGGGGCACGTGTGCTGTGTTTACAATTTTTGACAAGCCAGCCGTTATTGTAATATTATAAGCGGCTCGTGAATGGAGGACTCCGACCAATAAAAATATAGCTCGGATGCGCAGTGCGCGGCACGTGTACACACAAGTTCCAGTTTCACTGATCAGTTGGTCACAAGTCACTGAGTGGATTGCGGGAGCAGAGGCGCGGATCGCGAGACGTGCGACGCGGCGCGCGCGTAGCGACTGTGTGCGGCCGCCGGTGATAAGGCCGCCCGGCCCGCGGCTCGCGTCCGCGGCCGGCCGCTCCTCTCCTTTGTGTCCGTTCGTCACCCCCCCGGCGCCGCCGCCCCCCGCGATCTTGCCACCTCGCCTATTCCTCCGACATTCGAGCCGCGCTCGCCTGCCCACCTATCTCCCGCAATATATTAACTCGATTAATTATTAATTTTAACGCATCAACTTTCCCAGCGCAAAAATCGCCGCCTCCAAATTGGAACTTTTTCCGCCGTCAACTTGCGGTCGGCGTAGGTCGAAAGTTTTCTTACAATCGTGGTGTTCCACAACTTTTCTAAGTGGCGAACTTTGTCTCGTAATAACGTCTCGCGCCCGTCTACCAAGTAATAGTTGCCAACTAATTACTCTAGTTCCAGCGACTCGAGTCGCTCCCGATGTTTTTCAGTAGGTCGCTGAACAAACAAATGAAACAAAAACAATGTAGTTAGAGAGACGATAAGCGATGGGCTCGCCTCATTGATATGCTACGAAGTCTCGTAGCGCTCGGAGCTCGCTACGTCTCATTATTATGATTATGTTGTACGTAGCTGTTAATTTTTATGCATAATATTTTCCTTACGCTTGTATCTCGTGGTTGTTTATGTAATGTTACATTGCTTTTGACACAGGTTTGTGTTACCTCGTATGATGTCCGAGACTTTAAGTATTTCTATAGTAGGGTACGATCGAGTGTTTTAAAGTCAGTTCAAGGGCAGCCTGTCAGCATGTGGTAATAAATTATGCACTTGTTGTGAGGCTTTATTGCGCTCATTTATTTGGCGGCGGTTAAGTCGGTGAAGTACTTTATTTAAAAAGGTATATTTTGTATCCTTATTTAATGTAGCGAGATGTGTAGATGTACAGGTAGGTATGATGCTTGCAGTGAAAGTCTTCATACATATTACGTGTTTCAGAGGCGCGCTAAATGCTAAAGTTGACACTTACATATATGCTTCCGTTACAGCGAACCTGTAGAATTTCGTATTATTTTCTCGCATACATCTTTGATCTGTCATTAACTCGTCGAGTACCGGTTTTGCAGACACAATTATAGAACAATAGGTTGCGGTCACCGGTGACCGCTTGGTGTTTGACAGTTTAAGTCGAGTTAGACAAAGCACTTACACCAATTATGGTGAAGTAGTCATAGTCATAAGTTTCTGATCAGTCATAATGTTATATTAAATTCGCTTTCAAAACAAAGGCCTTTGTATTGTAGTTCAGTGTGGTATTTATTGATTTTGTATAAATATTGTTTCACAAACAGTGTAGTTTAAGCTCTGCAGCTACGTTGAAGCACTCGTTGCTATCGGAGTCAGTTTGTAGTGTAATCCCCTGTGCGCAGGATTACTGCTTGTACCTAGTTACCTACCTAATTCAAGTAGGTACCTGCTAACTAATGCTCGGCAGTTATCAGGACGTTGTTACTGTTTCCAGTTAACTACGTAAATGCTTCTCGATCATTTCGCAGAAAAATGTACAAGCGAATATTTTTGACGATATTGGAAGTATGTGCAATTTTTATAGCATCATGATATTAACATGCACTTTTATGCATGTTTAACTAAAAATCGCGGCGATGTCGCGCAGACTACTGTGTCATGGGGTTATGAGGAAGAACACCTCTGTGCTTCGAAACTAGTAGAGCATTTCTCAGTATATTCACATGAGTAAACCGTGATATTTAGTCAATTTAGTATGTTTCACGATAGTTATTATAATACATGTTTTTTATTTGTGTTAATTTTGGTAATTGTGTGTTGATTTGTAGACAAACATTACCTTATTATGATATAACAAAGAGCAAATTGTTGAATGTACATAATATGTTCTACGGTTTTCTTGAAAAACATATTTTTATTGTTTGTTATAGTAAAAATGTAGCGTAAAAGGCACAGACTCACACTAACACTGTCTCAATCAAACAATGCTCACAATTAGGATACTTAAATAGTAAATTTGCTATACTATCTTTGCTCAATTTTATGTTAATTACGTACGGTAGATGTATCTGTATTTTCCGCGTAATAAAAGTCTGATTCATGCATAATTTCTGAGGTTATTGCCGATGTTACCTTAACCTTTTGACAACCATTGAAAATAAAAAAGGACAGCACGAAGCTTCAACTTTATTTACGGGTCGTTCTTATCAATTAGTTCTCATCTTATCTAGATGATGAAATGTACAGTCCTGTTTCCTCTGTTACCAGACATTAGAAAAGTTAATGTTCTTCAAACTAAAGTTAAAGTTAACTAAAAATCGCTGGTTACTCACGTGAATAAACTGAGAAAAGCTCTACTAGTTTCGAACCACGTGAGTTATTATCACGATAGTTATTATAAAAATAAAGTTAAAGTTCTTTAAAGTAAGCAAAAAAAACTGTCATTGATTTTAAAACACCACGGTGTTTGGAATTGTACCTGTGTATGACAATAGGCTCAACCCTTTTTACAAGGGACTCATAACTAGTGAAAAGTGAATGTTACATTATTTCTGTGCATTTCTAAACATTTCGGTGATTAAAAAGCGTAAATATGTTTTATGTACTTACATACTTATGTAATCTCAAGTAACTCCAAAAGAAACCTAAAGAAAACAGTCCACTCCCTGTAGCCTACATTAGGATTAGGAACGTCCTGAAAACTGAAGTTTAGTAATGTAGGTTTTCCTTTTACGTATTTTTGATATTGATTTGTCATCTTATATTGGACTGTATAAATAATTTAACTCGTCGAGTACCGTCAATATAGACACAATTATAGAACAATAGGTTGCGGTCACCGGTGACCGCTTGGTGTATGAGAATTTAATAAGTATTATAATTTCATTGCATTATTACGGGACTAGTCAGCTACGGACAATATGTGAGTATGTTATATAGTACTTTCTGACCATGTACTTGTGTGTATGGTTCTGGGTTCGACAGACGGTTAAAAACCGGTGTTCTCGATAGTTTCACGGTCCGGTGAGGTTACAACACATTGCGCGTGAGTGTCCTCTCGGCTCGATTAACCGTTACTATCAGTTCGCGTGTCGGCGCATACGCAGCCCGGTCTAAGATTTCCTGTTGAAGAACACATTTTGAATATAGATTTGTTTGTACTTGGAGGTATGGATAAAATTGGAGTTAAGGATTGAAGATTGATAATTATGATATTATATACAATTTCAGCCTCCTGAAAACTCAGCATAATACTTTTGACTGACAAGATACCGATATTCAAGGGTTTCTAGAGTATCGAAAGTGCCTTTTGCGGTATTTCTCAGACATGAGAAATACCGCCACATTCATGGGGGACACCCCATGAATGTTTAAACTTACTTCTGGAAATTTTTTTTCATAAGAGTTAAGTTATGTTTTTGCTACCTACTTTTCTTTTTCTTAGTGCCATTGTCTATAGGTACTTACCTACATATAATAAAATCGTAAGAGACTGAAAACTGTACATCGAATATTTTTTTAAAAGAATGCTTTGGTCATGATCTACAGTCGATACCGAAACCAAAAATGGTTTTTAGAATTTTTGTCTGTTTGTCTATATGTATGTCCGGGATGAACTCACAAAGTGCTGCATGTATTTACTTCAAATTTTGCAGGAATATTACTAACAGGTCGGGTCAATATATAGGCTACATATTATCATGTTATCAACTGCGGGGGAGGAGCTGTGAATCACTATTCCACGCGGACGAAGTCGCGGGTTTAGCTAGTAATACAATAAAATCAATTTGTAATTGATAAAACTAGACTCGTTAAAAGTTATTAGTAGTCTAGCGGTTGCTGGCGTGACCGCAATGTGATTGTAGGTTCATTCAATTTCGGCGTAATTTGGGCAGTCCTACTAAGTTCTCGTGAATATATCGGTTTATTACGAAAGCACTAACCGATAAATAGATATTTGATTATTTAATACATTTTTCGGAAACCCGAAAATATCGCAATCTACACCTGACATTCCTTATTCGGTAGCAACACTGCAGACTAATGAGACAGTCTAGTCTAGCCGATAATTATATTATTTTAATTCTCAATTATCGCTCGTCGGAACCGTAATAAGATTTTTGCAATAGTGTGTGTGTATGTGTGATTCCTGAACAATGTTTAATAATCACACTTCTCACTAATATTGTATATGTGAAAGTTTCTTTGTTTGGTTGTTTGTTCGTCAATTATGCTGAAACTACTGAACGGATTTTGATGAAATTTAATGCACAGGCAGGGCATGAGTTGACTTAGGTGATAGGGTACTTTTTATACGGATTAAACGCTCCCATGGGATAAAACAAGAGTCTTGATAATCTTCAATGAAGCTGAAAGTATTGAACGTATTTTCATGAAATTTGGCTTACAGGCAATATATTAGCTGAGAAAGATTATAGAGTATTATTTATTCCAAATAAATGTTCCCGAGAGACAAATAAAAAAAACTAACTATACATTTCTACACGGACGACGTCGCAAGCAACAGCTAGTTTATTATAGTTTTGAACACTAAGTCAAAGCTGGTGGGTGGGTGAAAACTATTAAGATAGCTAGGTAATTCGGTATAACAAATCGCTTTTGGATTAACAAGTCTTCCTATAGTGCAAGTTAGTTGCCGATCTTATTTGCGCAATCCATTTAATGTGTGTACTTGTGTTTCTTGCGCCATAGTTACAGTCAGCCATATGTTCCACCCTAAGCTTATGTACGAGTATTTACGGAACCCAACCGCTGCCAAGTCTGAAACCTATCTAAGGGAATTATATAGTAATTTGGAAGGTGCATTATTATGCAATACGCATACAGTTATAGATCGTAAGCTAAAGGTGTTACGGGTGAGATTTGGGTGACGGATTTTGGCGTCATTTTTAGGATTTGATTTCTGTCTCGACCTTGACATTTTATGTCCGGGGGAATGTGTTAATGAACCTAATTATTGAATTGAACTTTGTGACTGATAAGCTAATGATTTCGTTAATATATAACCAATTTTGGCGATTCGATGTTTCTATCTGTGCAAGTT